GGACATCTGGGGAAAAGAAAAAAAAAAAAAATCCTAGTGTGGATAGTGTCCTAAGGCTACCATGTGAATAACAGTGGCCATGAATATATTCACCTTAAATTAGAGTCCAGAGTCAACATTTTTCTTTTTTCTTTTTTTTTTTTTTTTTTTTTTTTTTTTTTTTTTTTTTTTTTTTTTTTTTTTTTTTTTGCTAAATCCTAGCCAAAGAGCTGGTGTAACTACTGAGATGTGGAAGTGAATTTATCTTAAACTTGCCCCAGTGCAGCTAATAAGGGAAAGCTGTCCAATCATCACAAAGTCAGCTTCTGACAGCCTGTCACATTTTCCACTGATGCACCAGACGTGACTAAACTGTGCAGGGGCTGTCTGTCCGGGATCTGGATTCCCTTTCACTGTGCTCAGCAGGAAGGGGCCAGCATCGTCCTATACCCATGTCATGAACTTGACATAACCCTTAGTAATGGAAGAGGAGGCCTGGCATGCTACCAAGCCCAGGCTTTCAGCTTAGTCTGTACACACTGTGAAATTTTAATTATTTCAAGGTCCACACTGTACCCAATCTGCAGAGAGACCAAATTTCCAGAGGAGAAAATAAAACATGTTGCTATTTCAACAGCCATCTATTACAACACTGGACAGCAGGACTCAATGGATAGTTGATCATTCCTAAAAGTTACCACTCGGAAGACAAATTTATTATTGGTTGATCCCTCGACACATAACAAAGAAAATATAAACTCAAGGACACAAATACTGATGAAGGTATTTATGTTAAACACTCAAAAATTTTTCATTGCCTCTTATGTTTAATTCTCTCTGCTAAAGAGTAGAATAAAATGTGAAGAAGAAAGATACATTTTAGAAGGAAGAAAGAAGAGTTAAGAACCAGCAACAAAGAAGCTGGTGTGACTTTCCTTTTTAATTTACTGTTTTTCTAGTCTGATTTTAAAAAAAAATAAAACTTCATTCTTTTTCTGTTTGGCCGCACACATTCTTATACAGTAAATCCTCTCGTGGACCATGGCAGGGAGACAAATGAAGCGATAACACGGGAGCTGGTGGCCTGTCTGCCCTGGCCACTCTCCCCTCCTCCACACGCCATCCTTCAGTGCACACAGAACTCAGGTTCCATGAATAATTCCAGCACAGGCAGGGACTTCTTGTGCTTCATATTCAGAATAACTCTAAATACCCTAAACTCCCCAAAATTCAGGCAGAGAGGGAATTTTTTAAAAGGAAAACACCCTCAACCAACTTTCAATCTGGAGACTTCAGCCACTTGCCAAAATATGCCATCTCACTGAGCCAATAAATGGAGAGCAGGAGTGTGGCTGTAACTGGGTCAGGAGTAGGGTTTTCATTTTTCACAAGTCGGGGGGGAGGATACCAATATGGTTAGTCAGTCAGCAAGCATTAATCCTCATTAATGTCTCCCATTCAAATCCATTCTTCACTGCACAGCTGTGCAAACATAAATTAATTGGGTCATTTTGACGAAGGCACACAAGAAAAAAATTTCAATGTGAGGCAGAGGAACTAACTGGACAAATAACACATTCTTTAAATGTGTAGGAAGGACTGTACAAGCTACCACATCATAGACTGAAGGACATTCACTCAAATTCACACCACCATAAACTCCCCTATGGGAGAAGCTTCAAAGGGCAGAATGAGGTGGGGACACGTTCATGACAAAGCATATAATAAACTGCCAGAGTGAAAATACTGGCTCCCACTCCTTGCCAGATACTGTGCTACCTATTTCACAGAGCCATGTCATTTAATACCGTCACAACATCATTACTCCCAGTTTACATATAAGGTAATTAGAAGCAAAGAGATCAAATAACTTGCTTGAGGTCATACCAGCAGTAAATGGTGGAGTCACAGTGGTCAACGTTCAATTCAGGCTGACACGACTCCAGAGACCATGTTCCTAAGATGACATTGTCCTGTTTTCTATATGCTTGGCACTATGCTTGCATCGTGGAGAGCAGAAAAAAAGGTACAGTCATTTCTTGCCCTTTAAGAAACTTACAGTCTGACTGGGGAAACAGGATGGATACCTGCGAACTCATCAGAAAACAGGAACAGGAGCACTGCATTAGCACCTGCACTTTTTAGGTGAAGGAAGCCACATACAGGAGCTGGGGAAAGTGGCTACAATTTATCTGACAACTTTGAGAAGGGTTTCCACCAAACTCTAAAAAGTGAGATACTGAGAGGATGTAATACTTTAGAAAATACTGATTTATTCCTTCCATGGTATGGTTTGAACATTCAAAATCTTTCCTTTCAGAGCTCTCCCTTCAGAAAGGACAGGACAGTCAGCCCATTCCCCAGCTTCATTTTAAGGTTAATAAAAATAGCCACAGCTTCCTGGAAATCCAGGAGAAGAGCTCTCCTCTCTCTTCTCCAGAGTCTTCACTCTGGTCGAGGTGTGGCAACCTCTCCCAACCTTCAGAGACTAAGAAGGGAGGAGATAATTTGCATCATCTCTTTGGTTCTTTTCATTGGAAATGAACCATCTCAGTGCCTCTAACTGACAGAAAGGGGCAGACTGGAGCTAGGGACCCATGAACGTTCTCAGAAGAAGTGGCAGTGCTCCAGAAACTAGGAGAATGAGTATGATCATGCCAGAAATTATTCTACAATTATTTATAGCAGATGCATGACCCCCATGCCTGTAGAAGTGTTGGGGGACTCTGATAACCGTTCTCAAACAATCTGCTTCCACTCTCTTTGCTGCATTTAAATTTCTGTTGCATTCTTAACATTCAACTTCAGATGTATATGAATTTTTAAAACCCCTGCATTTTTTAACTGGGAAGACACATTACTGCGATGAGCTCCTTTTTCCCTGCATGGACAAAATTTGGTCAGAAGAGCTGGGGACGGGGGGTGGGGGGTGCTGTGTGTCACTGACGTCACATTGCTTGGGACTCAGGTTTTATAAGGAGTCAGATGAACATTCAAAAACAAATCTGCCGACCCTTACTGGGTGACCAGTAGGTCGAATGCACAGAGAGAAGGGCCTGAGAGAAGGGTCGTCACTTTTCAGGCAGGCTCCCAGGTCAGCCGTGCCACTCCCGAGAGCCCGCAGTGTCGGGGTCTTTAGGACACAGCAAATATTCCCTAAATGTCCTGCCCAAAGAGCAAAGAGCTCAAAGTTGTTGGACAGTGGTTCTCAACTCCACAGAATCATACAATCACCTGGGGAACCCTAAAAATCATTCCTGCTGTGCCCTACCCCAGCGATTCTGATTCCAAGGGTCTGGGATTGGGCCTGGATACTATGATTCCAACACATAAGCAGGGTTAGAACCGCCACATTGAACACAGCCAAGTCTGAAATACCATAAGCATCAGTGAGTGTGGTTACTCAATCAACAGACACTGAAATGAACAGAATCCTTCTGCTCCTTTAACAGCTTACTCTCAATTGTATTTCTTTCTGGATCTTGAGAAACTAAGAGTCTGGGCTGCCCAGATTACAATCCTAGTTATACCACTTAGCAGTTAAGTGACCTTGGGCAAGGTATATAACTTTCCTGAGACTCCGTTTTCTTAGCAATACAAAGGGGTTAATATCAGAAGGTAGTTGAGAGGATTGCATGAAATCAAGTATGTAAATTATGTGACCCAATGTCTGGCACATGTCAAATGCAAAATAAACATTAGCTCCATGACTGATGATGATGACAATAAAAATATACCAGTTATATTTCAATAAAAGGAATGTTTTTTCTAGATGGGGTATTTATTCACAAGGCCAGGTTTTAAGGAATTGTGAAACACTGGAATGTGAGAGTTAGACATTTAGCATTCCCTTCAATTATGAATACAGGCCAACAAGTCTCAGTATTAGAACAGTACCTGTGATCTTGTCGCCGATAGAAATCACAGATATGTCTATATAATACAGTCGTGGTTGAAACCCTAAAAGAGTATTTATATTTAGGGTGACCAACTGCCCTGGTTTGCCCAGGACTGAGGGGGTTTCCCTGGATGAGGGATTTGTAGTGCTAAAATTGAGAAAGTGCCAGGGAAACTACTCCCTACTGACATTCATCACTACTTCAGAATTATGGTAGTTATCGAACCACTAAATGCCACTGTTTAATGTGTTAACAAAGAAGCACCTACCCTGCCATATATCATAATTTCAAATGATATCTTGGTAAGTGTACATATGTTCACATAATCTGTGTCCTTTATAACACCTTGTATTTCATTGGATGCACTTAAAAGCATTCTTCTGAGTCCATAGGCTTCACCAAAATTGCCAAAGGGGTCCATGGCACAAAAAAGGTGAGGAGGGAAGAAACTGGGAACATTGGTTGGAAAATGAAGGTAACCATATCTTAAGTTCTTTTAGGCCTTGCAACCTAAAATATAGAAGACATAGGCATGTACCTCCAAAGGCACAAGTAGATAATCAGTCAATGGAACCACTTTCCCATTATCAGGAGTCTGTCTCCTAATCCTACATATAGTAACCTGGGAGTCTCCCTAATTTCTGCACTCCTGATGACATACATATGTGCATCTAGTTACTTATATCATTGTAGAGTTAACTCCATCTTGACAGTTATTGACTGGCGTATCTATTAGGTCTACAAGTTTCCAGTAACTACAAATGCTTCCCCTAAGAATCATAATTTGACAGAACCTAAAACTTTCCATGAATTAAGACAACAGAAAATTGGATTTTAAAAGATCAAGTTTTGGGGTTCCTGGATGGCTCAGTCACTTGAGTTTCCCACTCTTGATTTCAGCTCAGGTCATGATCTCATGGTTCCTGAGTTTGAGCCCCACATCTGGCTCTGCACTGACAGCACAGAACCTGCTTGGGATTCTTTGTCCTCCTCTCTTTGCCCCTCCCCCACTCATGTGTGCCTATGCACATGCGCTCTCTCTCTCTCATCTAAAAATAAATAACTAAACTTAAAAAAAAGATCAAGTTTAAAGAAATGACCAAAAATAAACTTAATCCTTACCGAATACCACTGAGCTTCTGACAGGCACCAGGTCCCATCTTCCCTAACTGCCACCGCTGACCACCGTTCCAGAACTCTCCCACAGGGCAGCAGGAGACCACTTCTCTTCTGATCAATGTAACTGTAAGCTCCCAGCCCAATGCGACCAGAAGGCAGAGTTCTCATGATGGCCCTTGTCCCAGTATATACAGATTTCTTTACTTCCCTGTCATTTTTACAAAATCTTCTCACTAACAAAGTGGACCTCTCCTTTTTGCTCTTAAAAAAATCTTCTTCTACATCTTCACAATTATCAGGGAAGTCCTCAAAATGGCTCAGAAAGGTCTTGGCAGGTGGACTGTTAGTAAAGTCCTCCCTGCAAAAGCTGTCACTTGAACATACCGCATCAGCCCTTTGGCAAGAAGCTTCGAAGCACAAGTATCTGTCGTTTAAGGCATCACAATGATCACACTGCAGCTGCCCATTCTTATTATCACAGTTTTCTGCCAATTCCATGAGTTTACAAGTATATGCCATATAATTTTTCTGTCGCTCCCCACGAACACCAGGCAGTGGTACACAGTTACCACAATCATCCAAAATCAGGTTGTCTGACAAGGTACAGAAAGTGTCTGACATTCTTCTGTCGACTTCATAATGAAAGTGAAATGCTGCCATGCCGCTGTCAGGGTGTGCCCGGCCGCTCTCTATGATGGCCGACTGATTTCCTAAGGGACTAATGTCCATGGGAGGCCCGTCCACTTCCAGTTGAATTCCAGGGAACACCTTTCTTTCCAGTGAGGATGGGATTCCAGTTTCCAAACACAGGCCTTCCTCCATGACAGAATCGCACGTGTCATAACACTGGCTCTGAGGAAGGCTGCACTGGCTGTTTTTCAGTACATTGTTGCAGTTAATATTGAGGTTTTTCACAGAATCTGGCATGCTTTCCTCCCAGTACTTCTCATTGCTGTTCTCATCACTCATTATCTTCTCCCTTGCTATGGAGACAATCTCGGGCAAGTTGCTTCCAGAGGATTCTTCTTTAAGCTTTTTCAGTCGTGAGATGGTGGAAGTCTGACCACTCTGCCTGACACTATGTGCCTTCGGAACACTGACGTCTGAGACCTTTTCACTACTTTCATCTAAAGCCGACGGAGACGATGTCACCTTTCTTTGAGTCACAGGTGTGAGAACAGAAGCTGCCATTTCTTCAGAAGTCATCTTGACCAACACACAGGTTTTAGCTATTGCTGTTTCTTCTCTCTGCTGATCATGTCAAGATTTTTATAAAACAACTTATTATTAAAATAATCTCAGATCTACAAGTCCTGAGAAACAGTGTGACAATTCCTTTCATTCAGGTGCATTAAGAGCCAAATAAATTTCTCCAGTTATAACTTCCTATCATGTGTAATATGTTTTTCTAGACCAGGGTTTTAAGGTGGTAGTTCAATTTTCTTTCCTCTGTTATTTGAAGTAATTCTTTTGGAGATTTTTACTCGGGATTGCATTCTGCAACTTCTGATCTCTCACTGACTTACTAATGATTAAAAATCCAGTTTGAATGTTTCCTGTAAGAAAAAGACATGATGTCAAACACTGTGGCACTAAATAAATTTTTAAAACCGAACTTGTAACTCTAAGCTAATGCAAAATATGAACCAATTCTGAATATGAAGAGTTTTGCAATTGATAGTTACTTTTAATGTTTTTGGTATTTATTTCTCTGATATAATATTTCAGAAATTCTGTTTCCAGCCAAAGTAGAGTAACAACAGAGACCAGAATTACTCCCCTGCCTTAAACAACTGAAAAAATCAGAAAAAAAAAAAAAAAAAAAAAAAAAAAAAAAAAAAAAAAAAAAAAAAAAAAAAAAAAAGAAATAATGGTTTTTAAATACTGAACAACAGGGAACACAGAACAGTGATTCCTGAAATAAGAAAACAACAACAAATGAGGTGAATCCTATAAATGCCCTAGCTTACAGTTTGAGAGTTTCTAGGCCATAGGGGAGGGAAGGGGAACTCAGGCTGAACCCAACAGAGTTCTTATTTAAAGGAAAGAAAGTTGAGTGTTCAATGAGACCATAAAAACTAGAGAAAGAAGACATGTTAAGTGGAGAGGAGCAAAGATAAGGGTGGTTGCAGGCTTCTCATGAGAAACAATGCAAGCTATGGGGAGGTGTTTAGGGAGATGGGTGAAATTGAGGATAGAGATTAAAAAGTACACTTATCATGTAATAATAAATAAATGAATAAATAAATAAATAAATAAATAAATAAGATAAAACAAAATAAGAGACAATGCAAGCCAGATGAGAGTAGAGTCTATCTTTAAAGTACTGAAAGAAAAAAATACTGCCAACTTAAAATTCTATACCCAACAAAAATATCTTTTGAAAACAAAAAAAAAAAGAAAAACTTTCTAGACATACAAAAGCTGAAAGAATTCATCACCAACAAATTTGCATATAAGAAACAGTAAAGGAAGTCCTTTAGAAGGAAAACAATACCAGATAGAAATGTGGATCCATGCAAAAGAATAAAGAGCACGGAAAATGTTAAGTATGTATGTAAATACAATTTTTTAAAAATTGTAAACCACTTGATGGGGCGCCTGGGTGGCGCAGTCGGTTAAGTGTCCGACTTCAGCCAGGTCACGATCTCACGGTCTGTGAGTTCGAGCCCCGCGTCGGGCTCTGGGCTGATGGCTCAGAGCCTGGAGCCTGTTTCCGATTCTGTGTCTCCCTCTCTCTCTGCCCCTCCCCCGTTCATGCTCTGTCTCTCTCTGTCCCAAAAATAAATAAACGTTGAAAAAAAAAAATTTAAAAAAAATTGTAAACCACTTGAGATAGCTAATCTTTTAAAGCAAAAATAATAGCAATGTATTGTGGGGTTCCTAACACATGCAGAAGGAAAAAAATAGCACAAGGTCACAAGAAGGGAAATGGAAGTATATTGTTACAAGATTATTTTCTAAGTGAATTGGTGTAACATTACTTAAAGGCAGGCTGTCATAAATTAAAGATGCATACTATAAGCCCAATACAACCACTGTAAGAAAAAATATAGGTAATAAACCAAAATATTAGGACCATAAAAATTTTCAAATAATCAAAAGGCAGAAAAAGAGGAAAAGATGAACAAAGAACAGAAGTGGCAAATGTGACTTTGTGTGCGTGTGTGTGTGTGTGTGTGTGTGTGTGTATTCTTTCCATTCACTTTAATAAGAAATTATTCAAGCCAAAGTACGGAAAGAGCCCAAATGCCCATTGATGGATGAATGGATAAAGAAGATTTGGTATACACATATAATGGAGTATTACTAGGCAATCAAAAAGAATGAAATCTTGCCATTTGCAACTACGTGGATGGAACTAGAAGGTATTATGCTAAGCAAAATTAGCCAGAGAAAGACAAATATCATATGACTTCACTCATGTGAGGAATTTAAGACACAAAACAGATGAACATAAGGGAAGGGAAGCAAAAATAATATAAAAACAGGGATGGGGACAAAACATAAAAGACTTAAATACAGAGAACAAAAAGAAGGTTGCTGGGGGGGGGGTTGTGGTAAGGGGGATGGGCTAAATGGGTAAGGGGCATTAAGGAATCTACTCCTGAAATCATGTTGCACTATATGCTAAGTAACTTGGATGCAAATTTAAAAACTTATTAATTAGTTAATTTAAAGAAATTACACTTAAAGAAATTATTCAGGTGAATGTGGACATAAAAATTTTCAATTTACGAAAAGTATTCTTAAAAAATAATTTATTTTTATTCCTCAAATTATTGAACCCTGTTCTACACTGGGAACTATGTAATGGGGCTAGATATCCCTGCTTGTGATTCTATTGAGAGAGGGAGAACTGACCAAATTTCAATCTGGTGTGGTAAGTGTAATTATCAAGGATATACAAGGCACCACGGGATCACAGGTGTCCTTCATAAGTATACCATTCCTTTGTAAGTGAAGCCGTCCTTACCAAGACAACTGATGAGCATTCATACTCTGCTGTCAACACCAGATTTAACCCATTTTTGCCCTTTGCCACACAGGTGTCCCTCTTCCCCATGCTTCTCCCTTTTCCTCTTGTCCCAAAGAAGCAGCAACCTACCCCTCTTCCCTTACATATATGCCCCTCAAGCGCAACCACAAAGTCTCACTGGCTCCCAGCACATGCAGTCTTCACAACTACCTTAAAAAATCAGAGGACATCCTGTCAGTCGGACACTTCACAGGAAGTCAATGAGCCCACACAGAGCAGCAGTGTCCTGGTTCAACCGAACCCTTCCACCTTTCACATCCTCCTTCCAACCTGGTTTCTTTTAAATTTTCTTCAGAAAAAAATGCATCTATTATTTTTGGAGAAATACGCTCAGTGTAAAACAATTCAAAAAATGCAGGAAAACACACAAAAAATTTCAACTTAACATAAACCCCACTATCCAGAGATAACCACTATTAATACTTTGAGTAAACTCCTTCCATAATGCTCCCTATGCATCAACACACAGAGATATAGGTATATGATTACACAAATACCAGATCATGCTGTATATCCTACTTTATACCTGCTTTTTTTTTTTTTTTACAAATTCCAATTCATGAACAACTTTTCATGTCAAGAACCAAATAGATAATTTTAATGGCTTTTGGCACTACCTTGGTTTCCATATCTTTGCTCTATTTTTTAGAGTAACTTTTAAAGCCAAAGCCTTCAGACTGACTGTTATTTGTCCTTTCTCACCTATGAGGAAGGTCATTCAAAGCATGTACTGCCTCACCCCTGTTCTAAGCATTTCAAAATTACTATCTCATGTAATTTTCACTCAATCATACAAGATAATGTGATGGTTTTAAAATATGTCCACAAATTCTTTGTAGAGCCTAACTGCCTTCCCCTTGCATGGAGACCGTACTTGGTGACTTTTTCCAACATACAAAATGTGTTGGAAGTAACAGTGTATGACTTCAGAGAATAGGTCATAAAATGTCATAAAAGTTATTGAGGTTTCCTTTTGTTCTTCCTCTCGTTTGTTCTGGAGGAAATCAGATGTCATGATATAGGAAGAGCTCCCTGTGGCAAGAACTGAGACCTCCTGCCAAAAGCCACTGGAATGAGCCATCTTGGAAGGGGATCCTTCAACACCAGTCAAGGCTTCGCATGACTGCAGCCATGGTCTATACGTCTATATGACTTTAACCTCATGAGCAAGCCTGAGCCAGAAGCACTCAGTTCCCAAATTCCTGAGCCACAGGAAATGTGAGATAATAAATGTTTACTGTTTTGAGACATTGTTTTGAGGTAATTTGTTGCACAGCAAGAGAGAACTAATACAGAACAGTTCTACTATGATCCACATTTGACAGATTAGAAACCCAAGCACAGAGAAGCTGAGTCACTTGCCAAAGATCACACTGCTGGAAAATGGTGGAGTCAGGATTCAAACCCAAGAAACCTGACTCCAGAATCTGTGCTCTCCACCATAGTTATGCTGCTTTATTGCTAACTAGGTTGAAACCTCATCGGTTTGTATTTCTGATGTCCGCTGGATGCAGAGATCCATGCCTTCTAGGAGGATCCTCTTTTATCTGAGTTTGTCTCTGGCAGGCTGAGATCTTTGTTTTGTGGTAGTCAGTACTGAACAACATCTGAGAGAGCTGACTCCCTGAAGACTCCATCTCAGGTCATTCCTTTATTCAACATATTCTTTTTTTTTTTTATGTTTATTTTTGACAGAGAGAGAGAGAGAGAGAGAGAGACGGAGCATGAGTGGGGGAGGGGCAGAGAGAGAGGGAGACACAGAATCCGAAACAAGCTCCAGGCTCTGAGCTGTCAGCACAGAGCCCGATGCAGGGCTCGAACTCACAGACCGTGAGATCATGACCTGAGCCGAAGTCGGACGCTCAACCGACTGAGCCACCCAGGCACCCCTCAACATATTCTTATTAAGTACAAAATTAAATGAGGCAGGAATTTCCCCTTGATTTCTTTATAAGCTAATAGATCATCAGGTAAGGTATAGTGCAAATAGGGCTATAATCTGGGTTACCCCAGAGGAAGAGCATCTAAATCAGATAGTGGGGACAAGGTGAGGGTGATTGCCATGGAGGGTTTCCTGAAGAAGATGATGAGCAAGCCGAGTTTTGAAAGACAAGAAGGAATCAGCTAGATAAAGAAGTGGGATTAACTTTGCAGAAAAGAGCAAATG